ATGTGGTTTTTGTCTTTGGTTCTGCTTATGTGGTGAATTATGTTTATAGAGTTGCTGATGTTGAACCAGCCTTGCATCCCCAGGATGAATCCTACAAGCTGTTTGATGTGCTGTTGTCATCTTGCCAGTATTTTATTGAAGATTTTTGCATCTATGTTCATCATGGATATTGGCCTGAAGTTTTCTTTTCTTGTTGAGTCTCTGCCAGGTTTTGGTATCAGAATGATGTTGGTCTCATAAATGATTTGGAAAGGATTCCCTCTTTTTGGATTATTCGGAATAGTTTCATAAGGAATGGTACCAGCTCGTCTTTATATGTCTGGTAGAATTCGACTGTGAACCCATCTGGACCTGGGCTTTTTTTGGGTGCTGACTCTTAATAGCTGCCTTAACTTCAGACTTTGTTATTGGTCTATTCAGGGTTTCGACTTCTTCCTGATTTAGGCTTAGGAGGATGCAAGTGTTCAGGAATTTATTCATTTCTTCCAGGTTTACTAGTTTATGTGCATAGAGTTGTTTGTAATAATCTCTGATGATGGTTTGAATTTCTGTGGAATCTGTGGTGATTTCCCCTTTATATAACGTTTTTTATTGCATCTATTTGGTTATTCTCTCTTATTTTTTAATCTGACTAGTCGTCTATTTTGTTGATCTTTTTGAAAAACCAGCTCCTGGATTTATTGATTTTTTGAAGGGTTTTTTGTGTCTCTATCTCCTTCAGTTCTGCTCTGATCTTAGTTATTTCTTGTCTTCTGCTAGGTCTTGAGTTTTTTTGATCTTGCTCCTCTAGCTCTTTCAATTTGATGGTAGCATGTCGATTTTAGATCTCTCCCTGTTTCTCATGTGGGCAGTTATTGCTATATATTTTTCTCTAGAGACTGCTTAAAATGTGTCCCAGAGATTCTGGTATGTTGTATCTTCGTTCTCATTGGTTTTGAAGAACATCTTTATTTCTGCCTTCATTTCATTGTTTATCCAGTCAACATTCAAGAGCCAGTTGTTCAGTTTCCATGAAGCTGTGCAGTTCTGAGTTAGTTTCTGAATTCTGAGTTCTAACTTGATTGCACTGTGGTCTGAGAGACTGTTTGTTACGATTCCCGTTCTTTTGCATTTGCTGAGGAGTGATTTACTTCCAATTATGTTGTCAATTTTAGAGTAGGTGTGATGTGGTGCTGAGAAGAATGTATATTTCGTGGATTTGGGGTGTAGAGTTCTGTAAATGTCTGTTAGGTTTGCTTGGTCCAGCTCTGCATTCAAGTCCTGGATGTCTTTGTTAATTTTCTGTCTCGTTGATCTGTCTAATATTGACAATGGGGTGTTAACGTCTCCCACTATTGTTGTGTGGGACTCTGTGTTTCTTTGTAAGTCATTAAGAACTTGCCTTAAATATCTGGGTGCTCCTGTATTGGGTGTGTATATATTTAGGATCATTAGCTCTTATTCTTGCATTGATCCTTTTATCATTATGTAATGTCCTTCTTTGTGTCTTTCAATCTTTGTTTCTTTAAAGTCTGTTTTATCATAGATGAGAATTGCAACTCCTGCTTTTTTTTTGCTCTCCATTTGCTTGGTAAATCTTCCTCCATCCCTTTATTTTGAGCCTTTGTGTATCCTTGCATGTGAGATGGGTTTCCTGGATACAGCACACCGATAGGTTTTGGCTTTTTATCCAATTTGCCAGTCTCTGTCTTTTGATTGGGGCATTTGGTCCATTTACATTTAGGGTTAGTATTGTCATATGTGAATTTGATACTGCCATTTTGATGCTAGCTGGCTGTTTTGCCTGTTAGTTGATGCAGATTCTTCATTGTGTTGATGCCCTTTACCATTTGGTATGTTTTTGGAGTGGCTGATACTGCTTGTTCCTTTCTATGTGTAGTGCCTCTTTCAGGAGCTCTTGTAAAGCAGGCCTGGTGGTGATGAAATCTCTGAGTACTTGCTTATTCACAAAGGATTTTATTTTTCCTTCACTTATGAAGCTTAGTATGGCTGGATATGAAATTCTGGGTTGAAAGTTCTTTTCTTTAAGGATGTTGAATATTGGCCCTCACTCTCTTCTGGCTTGTAGGGTTTCTGCTGAGAGATCTGCCGTGAGTCTGATGGGCTTCCCTTTGTGGGTAACCCGACCTTTCTCTCTGGCTGTCCTTGACATTTTCTCCTTCATTTCAACCCTGGTGAATCTGACAATTATGTGCCTTGGGGTTACTCTTCTTGAGGAATATCTTTGTGGTGTTCACTGTATTTCCTGGACTTGAATATTGGCCTGCCTTGCTAGGTTGGGGAAGTTTTCCTGGATAATATCCTGAAGAGTATTTTCCAGCTTGGATTCATTCTCTCTTTCACATTCAGGTATACCTATCAAACGCAGATTAGGTCTTTTCACATAGTCCTACATTTCTTGGAGACTTTGTTCCTTCCTTTTTACCCTTTTTTCTCTAATCTTGCCTTCTCATTTTATTTCATTGAGTTGATCTTGGACCTCTGATATCCTTTCTTCTGCTTGGTCAATTCAGCTGTTGAAACTTGTGCATGCTTCGTGAGGTTCTCAGGTTGTGTTTTTCAGCTCCATCAAATCACTTATATTCCTCTCTAAGTTGTTTATTTTTGTTAGCATTTCGTCAAATCTTTTTTCAAGGTTCTTAGTTTCTTTGCATTGGGTTAGAACATGGTCTTTTAGCTCAGAGAAGTTTCTTATTACCCACCTTCTGAAGCCTGATTCTGTCATTTCATCACACTCATTCACTATCCAGCCTTGTTCCCTTGCTGGTGAGGAGATGTGATCCCTTGTAAGAGGAGGGGTGTTCTGGTTTTGGGTGTTTCATCCTTTTTGCGCTGGTTTCTTCTAATCTTTGTGGATATCCACCTGTCATCTTTGTAGTTGCTGACTTTCAGATTGGGTCTCTGAGTGGACATCCAGTTTGTTGATGATGAAGTCATTTCTGTTTCTTAGTTTTCCTTCTAACATTCAGGCCCCTCTGCTGTGGGACTGCTGAGGTCCACTCCAGGCCCTCATTGCCTGCGGATCACCTGCAGCAGCTGCAGAACAGTAAGGGTTGCTACCAGTTTCTTCTGCTATATTTGTCCCAGACAGATACCCACCAAATGTCAGTCTGATCTCTCCTTTATGAGGTGACTTTTTGGATATACAGGGATCAGGGAACTGCTTGAGGAGACAGTCTGTCCTTTATAAGAGCTCAAGTGCTGAGCTGTGAGCTTCATTGTTCATTCAGAGCTGCTGGGCAGGTACGTTTAAGTCTGCTGCAGCAGAACTCATAAACCCTCTTTTTTTCTGAGGTGTTCTGTCCCGGGGAGTTAGGGCTTTATTTATGAGTTTCCGTTGTGCTGCTGCCTTTTTTCAGGGCTTTCCTGCCCAGCAAGGAGGCAGCCTAGTCACTGCCTGCAGAGACTTTGCTGAGCTGCTGTGGGCTCCACCCAGCTGCCGTGTGAACTTCCCTGCAGTCCTATATGGGTGTAGTTAGAACTGCTTTGGCAGTGATGGCCCACCTCTGTAATGGTGGACTCCCTCTGTAATGGCAGGTTGCCTTGGCAATGGCAGGCTGCCTCAGCAATTGCGGACTACCTCTGTCATGGTGGAGTGCCTCGGTAATGGTGGACGCCCCTCCCCCACAGAGCTGGACCGTCCCGGGTTCAGCTGTGCTTGCTTTGAAACTCTCAACCCAGAGTGTTTCCAATTGCTATTTTTTTGTGTGTGGATGTGGGACCAGCCAAGTCTGATCACCTGGTTCCCTGCCTCACAGCGTTTTTTTTTTGTTTTTTTTTTTTTTTAAGTTGAACAGTCGACTCTCTCCCAGGTGTTCCAGTTGCCTGTTGAAAAGGTGCTGGGATCTGTGTTATTCCCCTGCGATGACCCACTGTGCTGGCTGAAACAGCAGCGCTGGGATTCGTGGTCCTTTTTGCCCGGGAATCTCCTGACCTGGCTCCCTGTTTCAGTCCCCTTTTTAATCAGATGAATGGGCGACTCTGCCTTCCCGGAGCTCCAATCGCCAGCTAAAAGGGGCACCCAGATCAGTGTATTTTGTATGGAGAACCGCCGTGCCAGGGCGCTGGCAAAACACCGATGCTGGTCAAAACAGCCACACTGGTGACCCGTGGGGCTTCTCCGCCTGGGAATCTCCTGGTCTGTGGGCAATAAAAATCCATCTGGAAATGTGGCATCCACTCACCGTCTGCACTTTCACTGGGAGCTGCAATCCTGAGCTGCTCCTAATCTTGGATCTTCAAGCCAGAATCTCATTCTTTTCCTTTTTCTTTTTTTGAGAAAGGGTCTCACTGTGTCACCCAGGTGATCTTGGCTCACTGCAGCCTCAATCTCTCTGACTCAAGCAGTCCTCCCACTCAGCCTCCCATCATTCTCTCTTATGGCTAAATATTACTCCATTGTGTATATATACCATATTTTCTTTTATCTGTTCAACTGTTGATACAAGATGCTTTATTGAATTGACTAAGTGAATTGGCACTGCAATAGCTTTTTTTTTTGGCTGGTTGTCTTCCATCTCTATGAATAATGAAGAGGACCTGTTCTGCCTGTCAACACTGACCCAAGTTACTTTCATTTCTTCCACCCATTTATTCACATAAGCAGATTGTATATTATAACATGGTTCAGAATTTTTAGCAAATTTTCTCAGCGGTGCACTGCTCATTTATTTTCAAGTGAGCTAGACTCCAGCTAAGTATTCATATACTGCTGATCCCAGCTGTAGCAAGAGCTTTGGCTGAAATGGTCTCTGTCTCCCTGAGTCTGTAACTTACTCAAAGGCACTGTCTTCCCTGTACCAGGACCATGCTGAGGCATGAACTTAAATCCAGTAAGAGAGAAATTCAGATTTCCTAGCATCAGCCGTATTTAAAACAACATTCCAGATAACAGCTTCAAAGGCCATACAGCTCACAGCCTGCAGTTGAAACAGTGTACTTGTTCTCTTTTGTTGTTATAGCGTTGCCCATGCTCTCTCTCGGGACTTTTTGACTTGCAGATGCTAATACTGGAGACCGTGGACAGACCAATAATGCTGCTTCTGCATCAGCTTCCAACTCCACCTGAACTGTCCCGAGCAGCTAGCTGCACAGGAAAAACCACCAGTTACTTGAGTGTCACTCAGCAACACTGGTCACGTTTGGAAAGAATATTAAAAAGAGAAAAAAAAAAAACCTGTTCATTTTAGTGTTCAATTTTTTTATTATTGTTGTTCTTATTTAACCTTGTAAAATATCTATAAATACAAACCAGTTTCATTGTATTCTCACTTTGAGGGAGATCCAGGGGGTGGGAGGGGTTGTGGGGAGGGGGAAAGCGGAGCACTAGAACACACAATCTCTCTCCCACGACAATCTTTTTTTATTAAAAGTCTGCTGTTGTATACTTTAAAAACAGGACTCCTGCCTCATGCCCCTTCCACAAAAGAAGAAAACCTCGTTCTGTGCTGATGGGTTTGTTTTTTTGAACTTTTCTTTTAAAGTCTAGTGCGAGACTTTGGTATAGTGCACAGCTTGAAATTGGTTGGGAGCTTAGCAGGTATAACTCCACAGGGACTTAAATGTCACTTGTAAAATTAATCCATATCTTTGGGTGTTTATAGACTTGCCTTTGGCATGTTGGTGGCAGGTGTGGCAGACAAAAAAAAATGTGTATCATTTGTAATCCAGGGAGGTCAATAAAGTTTGGAACTCTACAGGGAAGATTCTTAGTAGATGTTTTAAGGTTTTGTTTTGCTCTCAGTGATAGTGATGTAGAGCCTTGAACAGGAGGCTGCCAGAGGGGAAGCAGCAAGACTCAGGCACGTGTGCTCTGCAGGTGGCTTTTTGTTTGCCTGACCAAAGTTCTTTGCAAATCTTAGCAGAATTTCATACTAGTGACCTGGGTGGAGATGGCAGGGTGTTAAGCAGGCCGAGCTAGCTGCTAAGGTCAAAGGCTGATGAGCCCAGAAGAAGGGAACAGGCCAGGGATACATCTCACCACTGTGAATAAGTTTGTCCAGATTTTTTTCTAAAGTTACTTCCCTTGGAAAGATACACTTGAGAAGATGTTGTAGTTAAATAATGTGAATTGTAACAGTTGCCTACTGGTTTATTTTTCATATTTTTTAATTGAAAATCGAGCTTGCAGAAATAGCCACATTCTACACATAGTTCTAATTTTAAATCCAAATCTAGAATCTGTATTTAATTTGTTTTTTAACCTCATCCTTTTTACATTTATTTATTGATGCATGTCAGATGGTAGGAATTTGAGAACTACACATCAAAATGATAAACAGTCACTTATACCTGCTGACTTTATAGGAAAGCTGATTATATAAATGTGTGTATATATGTTATATATACATATATTCAATACTGCCTTTTTTTTGTCTACAGTATCAAAATTGACTGGTTGAAGCATGAGAAGAATGTTTTCCCCACACCCAGTTAAGAGTTTTTGTGTCTGTTTTCTTTGTGTATCAGTGAATGGTGTAAGAATCAGTCTCTCTTTTTGAAGAAAAAGCAATATTCCTTGGAAAGCAAGGAGAATTGAAGGATTATGTTTGCCGTGAGAAAATAGATTTTCATGACTAGTTTGTTTTATACTTTTAAGGTTGGCATCTATGTGGGCCTTATATACTCTAAAATGAACTTTAGTCACCTTGGTGCTTATGGGCCATTACTTGACCTATGAATCTTTAAGGCACAATCAGTTGTACTTTACATTTAAAGATCACTTGAGTGATGGCCGCCTTTCTCTCCTACCCGCTTCTTCCCCACATGCCTTCCAAGGTTAGCTGGTAACTGTAGGGCTGCAGAGCTGAGCCCTTGGTCCTGTGTAACTTCCCCTAACCCTCCTCATTGCTACCTTAGGTCACATTAGGGGTCTCATCCTCCAGAGGGTTCGGAAGTGGAGTCTGTTGGCAGCCCTCCCGCAGGCCCTAGCACTCTGTCCTGCTCCTTAACCATGTGTGTGACTCTCCAAGAGAGTTGTCCTGCCTGCTGAAGTGAACCAGTACCCAGAAAGACAACTGTGAGCCATCTTGGTTTTCACTCGCTGTTTAGCTGATGTCTTGGGCCACTAAAGGGGTTTCACAAACCTCTGGATATATCAGAGTTCATGAGAAAGGAAACATGCTCAGTCAAACCAAATCAAACAAATTGAATTTTATGTTTTATAAAGTGCTTCTGAAAACTAATTAAAATTAGAAAGAAGTCTGAAATCAAAGTATTTGGCAGCATAATTCCTTAAGGGTAATGGCTTTGATGGACCATTTTCAGACAATTTAAAAGTATCTGAAAAGGCAGGTCTGTGATAGAGAAATGGATCTGCATTCAGATCCAACTGCCCAGCAAGCATTTGAATACAGACACTGCTCTGGACATGGTACACTTCCCAGAGTCCATAAAAATCTGTGCTTATTTTAGGAAACAGATTGCCCCCCACAAGTGGGGTAAAAGAAGAGAGAAAAGTCACACTTTTCTCTCATTTCATTGTGTGCGTGTGTGCATGTGTGCGTGTGTGTATGTGTGTGTGGGCTGAGATGTGTGAATTTTCTTTCTCAAGGATCATGGTGGGATCACAGAACTCTTTTATACGAGTGAGATCCAGGTCTCTGAATATCTTTTTGTATATAATAATAAAAAGCTCCTCACCAAATTCAAGCTTGTACATTATATTTTCTTTCTATGTTTTTAAATTTAAGTTTTATTGTTTTGTATGTAAATATGTGGACCCAGGAACTGTTATTAATGAGCAAAAAGTTACTGTTCAGGGCAGTGATTCTGTTTAATAATCAGACAAAATGTAGACGAGCTTTTTAAAGCCATATAGTTTTAACTCTGTACAGTAGGTACCGGCCTGTATTATTGTAACAATAACTCTAGCAATGTATAGTGTATCTATATAGTTTGGAGTGCCTTCGCTTCCATGTGTGTGTTTTTTTTTTTAATTTGTTCTTTTTAAAATTTTAATTGGTTTCCTTTATCCATGTTTCCCTGTCCACCCTATTTCCCTTTGAAATAAAAACTCACTCATAACAGTATCTTTCCCCCTTCCAAAGTTAAGTTTCAGTGATACCATACTCAGGAGTGGGAAGAGGAAACCATATTCATTATCTCATTTTGTTCAAGCCCTGCCTTTGTTTTGGTTCTGAATGTCTGTTTCCTCCTCAGTAGCAGTGACTGGTTTCATTTCATATTTAGTCCATTCAGGGACTTAGTGTAGTGCCAGGGAGCCCTAGAGCTGGAGGATATCGAATAGATTAGATTTTGCTCGTCTCTTCTACAAGCCCTAACCATGGGTCTTAAAAACAGCAGATTCCGGGAGCCTTCCATGCTCTCTCCTCTTTTATCTACTTCCCTCCCAAATGAGAGAGTGAGAGGTAATTGGTTTTTTATAAATAGAAGTTTCTTAATAGTATCAGGTTTTGATACATCAGTGGTCTAAATGCTATAGTGCAATTACTAGCAGTTAACTGCATGGCGTGCCACCGTGCAAGTAGAGGACTGTTGTTTTAACAAGGGAACTCCTAGCCCATTTCCTCCCTCCCACCATCTCTACTCTTCTTTAATGAAATGTCATTTTCTTTTTTAAAAAATCAGTTTAATTCTTCCTGTGTGCCCAACACGAAGGCCTTCTTTGAAAGAAAAATAAGAGTGTTTTGCCTCAAAATACTCCATATAAGAGGTCTTGAATAGAAGAAAGAACTACCAAACCAAAGGTTACCATTTTTGAAAACATCGTGTGTTCACTCCAGCAAGGCAGAAGACTGCACCTTTCTAATGACATGCTGTGTCATTTTTTAAAGTCCTCTTAATTTTTAGACACATCTTTTTGGTTTATGTTTTAACAAAATATGCCTAACTAGTCATCTTGTCTGCACCAATGCAAAGGTTTCTGAGAGGACTATTATATTCTCTATCCCTGTGGATATAAAGACACTGGCATTTCATCTGTTTTTCCCTTCCCTTTTTAAAGGATTTAACTTTGGAATCTTCCAAAGGAAGCTTGGCCAATGCCAGATCCCCAGGAGTTTGTGGGGGTGGGGTGGGAGTGGTTCTTTGTTTTCAATCAAAATTGTGTCTAATTCCTACTGTTCATGTTAGTGACCATCTAATCACAGAGCCAAACACGTTTCTCCCCTATATAGAAAAGTATGCTTTACAATAAAATCTGTCTTTTCTGGTAGAAACCTGAGCCACTGAAACTAAAAGAGACAACTAGAAGCACAGTAGAGTCCCAGACTGAGATCTACCTTTGAGAGGCTTCGAAAGTAATCCCTGGAGTTTGGATTATTTTCACAAGGTTTATGCTGTTTTATTCAAGTTTGTTGCTCCGTTTTGCACCTCCGCAATAAAAGCAAAATGACAACCAGTACATAAGGGGTTACCTTGACAAAGTAGACTTCCTTGTGTTAATTTTTAAGTTTTTTTTCCTTACTATATCTGTCTACAGGCAGATACAGATAGATGTATGAAATCTGCTTGCCTGTAAAATTTGCATTTATAAATGTGTTGCCGATGGATCACTTGGGCCTGTACACATACCAATTAGCGTGACCACTTCCATCTTAAAAACAAACCTAAAAAACAAAATTTATTATATATATATATATATATATAAAGGACTGTGGGTTGTATACAAACTATTGCAAACACTTGTGCAAATCTGTCTTGATATAAAGGAAAAGCAAAATCTGTATAACATTATTACTACTTGAATGCCTCTGTGACTGATTTTTTTTTTCATTTTAAATATAAACTTTTTTGTGAAAAGTATGCTCAATGTTTTTTTTCCCTTTCCCCATTCCCTTGTAAATACATTTTGTTCTATGTGACTTGGTTTGGAAATAGTTAACTGGTACTGTAATTTGCATTAAATAAAAAGTAGGTTAGCCTGGAAATGAAATTAAAATTCACAAGTGTGTGGTCTTTATTTCAGTACCCAATTCTCTTTCTTCGCCCTACCTATTTTGCCACTGCAATATATAGTCACATCACCATTTCTGTTCCTCTAACTAGGGAAACATGAATCTTTGTTATAAAAAACAAGATATGAATACCACTTCTTGTTCTTCCCAATGATTTTATTCCATTGTGTAGCCCCAAAAGGTGCAGCTTCCATCTTGGAAACCTTTGGATTTGATGTAGAGGAAGCTTTGGAGACATTGCTTAGAAAAGAAAGAAAACAACTCTGAAAGGGACAAATTTTAAATGTGTATAAGCTGCTGTCTTTGATTACTGTGTTCATGATTTGGTGTGGCTGTATTTTCTTTTAACTTTCATCCTATTAGTAATGGTCTTTGGGGGTCTCTGTAAAATATATGGACACCACAAACAGTGGGGCTGTACCTCCCAGGTAACCAACATATGTTGTGTTTGAGTCTGCTCATTTCCAATACTGGATGATGTATGTAAACATGTCTCTTAGTGCAAAATGAAACATCATTTTTTTAGGGCTGGCTTACTCTGTCAGGCCTAATCTAAAGGCTAGATTTAAGGTCATGTGACTGCTGCTTCAATAAAAACAAATTTATATTCGATAATGTGTGGTACTCTTATTTACTGTGGTGGTGGGGTTGGCTAATTCCACGAACATTTGTAAAACAGTTAAACACATTTATGATTAGGGGCAGCAGGGAGGATTGGATTAGCCAAAACAGAAGATGTTACTTGTGAAATGGGCCTCCTGCTGGCACTGAAGTGCATTTGTTTAGGATTTGCTACTATCTTGTGTAGGTTCTGAGATTGAGTTAAACATTGTGTTAAGTGTCCTGCAAGATCCTTTTAATTTAAAATCCGGAAAGGTTGCCCTTTTAGTTTGTAAGTCTTTCCGAAAAGACTAGACAGTTCTTCAGGATCATATTTCAGGAGAGCAGTGATGGTGGATGTCATTTTTTTGTTGTTTTGTTTTTATTTGTTCGCTTGTTTTGTTTTTGAGACATTCTTGCTCACTGCAACGTCTACCTCCCGGGTTCAAGTGATTCTCCTGCCTCGGCCTCCCTAGTAGCTGATACTACAGGCACGAACCACCACACCAAGTTTATTTTTGCAATTTTAGTAGGGACTGGCCAGGCTGATCTCCAACTCCTGACCTCAAGTGATCTGCCCACTTCAGCCTCACAAAGTGCTGGGATTACAGGCATGAGCCACCGTGCCCAGCCAGTCGATGTCATTTTGAAATGTGTTCTAGGAAGGTAGTGAGGAAAAGAGAGATCAGGTTTTACATCCATATCACTGAGAAGTTCGTGAAAGGAAGTGAACAAAAGCATTGGGGTGGTCACTCATATCTCAAGTGTAGGAATATTTCACTCATCAGCACCATCAGATTTAGGAGAGCTGAAGGACATAAAGGGAAAGCTACCAGGAAAAAACAAGCTGCCATAGAAGATGACATAATGAGGCCCATAGTTAGGAGTCAGGAGTTAGAAAGGGATGGGTAATCATATGTATGTTTCTCTTGACATCCTCTTTCTCCAGAAGGGAGTGGCCACTTTGGCCCTTCCCACAGATTCGTTGTTGATGTCAAGACTTAGTTAGACAAAGTTCTGGGCCAGGTAGAGAGAGGCTGTTGAGTGGCCGTTACTAATGAGGGGGCAGATGGTATGCAGTAGCTTGCTTAGGTCTTTTGCCCTGAGCTTTGGAGACTGACTCCATCCTCTCCTCATTGAGCCAGAAAAAAATGTGGTCACAGGATGCCTAGAAACTGATGCTTAGTTCTGCTTACTCAAAAGTTCAGGGACAGGAGTAAAGAAGGCACAGAAATGTTGGAGTAGGAAAGTTAAAATCTGGTTCCCAGTCCCATAAACTTGTGATCCACAAAACTATTGAAAAGAAGTACCCTATGTGAGCTCTTTGGTGCATCTAACATTGACTCTTTACTCTTAAAATACACTTAGTTTTTATAACCTGTAAGTATTAAATTTATCTATAAATTACATGTACATGTCAATTCAGTGTTTGAGGAACTAACTGCCCTGGAGTTTTTAAATCAATACTGGGAGTTGGAAATTTGCCCTCTATTCCATCCTAACTTCACCTTACCCTCTCCTGCGGCTAGCAACAGTTTCAGACTCTTGAACAAATTGCACTCAAATTATTTCAATAGCGAAGGGGCAATGCATATGATTTATGAATACAGTGGAATAAAATCTATGTTTCCAAATTAGAAATTTGTATTTCTAATTATAAATGGGTTCATAATTAAGCAAAATTCCTGGGAGCAAATACTGTATTCATTGAGTTTGGAAAGAGAAGCTCTTGTTTCCCTCAGTATCTTTTCTAAAAATAAGTGCTCCCTAAATCTACTTAATGCAGAAAAGTCTGGTAAATTCAGAGGGATGACAGAATGCGTTTACTTGTTTTGATCTATATTACTGATGATTTACCATATTCTCAAAGTTTGGCCTCCTTCTTGTAAAATGGCAAAAGCTAAGTAATTATCTGTTCTTTAAAATTCAGTGACCATGAAGTTTCATTTGAAAGAAATATTAAACATTTAAAATTAATTCAGTTCCTACATTTTTAATTATGGTATGCACGTTAAACTTTTATACAAAACAATCATTTTATGAGTGAGCCAAGTTAAATAATTCATGTTTATGTTCTTACCCCAGGGTCTTTAGATTTATAAAGACAATAATAAAATAAGTAGTAAAAATATATATGCACGTATGTATTTATTTCTATTTTCCCACCCCCACATTTTTTTTCCCAGAAAAGAAGGCCAAAAAAGTTTACCTCTCTAGCCAAAAGTTCATTATTTAATTTCCCTTGCCTTAATTTGACATTAAATGCAGGATCACATTTGCCAAAACTAGTTCTTAGGTGTGGAATGCCTTATATAAAGTATAATTTGTGAAAATGCAAAAAAAAAAATTTACTCACAAGTGGCTATAAATAAGGCAGGCACTTTCATACCCTTTATCTTGGAGAACAGATGTGTACCTAGAAATACAAGGTGCATGCAAATTATTCTTCTCTGCTATGTTTAACCGTCAGCGTAGCCTTGTCACAGAGCATACCCAGCATTTCAGCGCCAGGAACAAATGCATGCCCCATCAGATGGGGAACAGACCTACCTACACTAAATCACACATCCGCACCCACAGCCAAAGTTTGTGCCTTTATGCCCACAAACTCATGTCTTCGGGAACCTTACTTGGATCCCTGATATCTGTCATCACAGCTCAGCATCCACAAGGAAATTCCTTGTGCTGCTTTTGTCATTTATTATTTGTCCTTTTGATCCAAGTTACTTGTGTTTCTGTTTTTTTTTTTTTTTTATTAACTATAAACTCTGTGAGCTCAAGTTCTATATCTGAGTCAACATTGTATACCCCACAGCAGGCTACCTATTGTTGGTGCTTAATAACATGTTCAAATGGATGCAGAGATACAGAATGATGTGGCCAGAATGAGGTCATGCCAAGCTTTTGGCATTTGGTGCACGTCTTCTGGCTTCTCTTCTCTCCAGAGGACTCCCACAGATACTCATGCACCTGCCAATGAGCACAGGCCTGGAGCCTGCCAAGCACCTCAGAAGAGGAGGCTGGGATTGGGAATGAGTGGGAAGTGGGAGACAGGACGATTAGAGGTAGCAATGAAAAGACTCAAGAAGCGAACAAACGTGGGTATGTGGTCATAGACCCCAGATGGCCCAGCCCTGGCCGCCCCATTCACACCTTGACACTTTAGTGGGATCTCAGGGATTTCTCCCAGACCACAGGGCCTTTTAGAAGGAAAGGGCAGCCTTGCCTCTCTGACAGTCGTGACCTACAGGCCAGTGCACTCTCCACATAAGGGTCTATGGCTTCACTCCCTACAGACTGAACTAGGGGTGGGGGGGTATCCATGTCCTTTCTGAGGAATGATAGCCAGCTGTCATAGCAAGAGTTCCCTGGGGAGGCGGCTCAGCAGGGCATTGTCGGCTTTCAGCAGTGTCCATCTGTCTTGGCCCAGGAGTGGCAGCTCAGAGAGCCCTGGGTCTGGCTGCCCCTCGGAGGCGATACCCAAGGGCAGCCGCTCAGCTGTCTGTGATGCTGAACAACTCCTGCATGAGGGGCGTAGCAAAGGGGTGTATGTCCTGGATGCGCAGCAGCCGCTGGGTGTGCTGGGCATTGATGCTGCGGAGCTCAGTGAGCATGGCCATGATCTTCAGGAACAGGAACCTGCGTGCCAGCCAGAGAAAAGGTTGGAGGGGCAGCCCACCCTTTTCCTGACCCACAAGCCTCAGGGCTGCTCTGAGGCTGCACAAACATAATCTCTGGACATTTCAGGTCAGCCAAGAGACAAGGCTTTGCTGAATTACGTAAGCTTCTCTTTCAGCCTGTGGATGAGAAAGGCAGAACAGCCTTCCCGGTACTGTCCCCACTCCCACCCCATCCATGGGAGTTGTGTCTTTTTTCTTTAAAGAGACAGGATCTTGTTCTGTCACCCAGGCTAGAGTATAGTGGCATGATCATGGCTCACTACAGTGTCGAACTCCTGGACGCAAGAGACCTCCAGCTTCAGCCTCCTGGGTAGCTAGGACTGGAGCACATGCCACCATGCTAATTGTTTTAAATTGTTCTAGAGTTGGGGTCTGGCTATGTAACCCAGGCTGGTCTTGAACTCCTGGCCCCAAGCAATCCTCCTGTCTTGACCTCCCAAAGTGCTGAGATTATAGGTGTGAGCCACAACACCCAGCCGCAGCAGTTGCATCTTTGTACACAGAGACCTCCATGGGATAATCCAGATATTGCAGCTACCAGTGTGGAGGTTTGGGGGTGTCACTGCCTTCCTTAATGTCCAGAGGCCAGGACTGAGCAGTCATTGTGGAGATTAGGGGCTGCAGGCTGGAATCCCTTTCTGAAACTTGCTTTGAAGCTAGTGTCTGAGATGTACCATATGCCTCAGCATTCCCATAATGGAAAAGAAAGCTGGCACTTTCAGCCTCCTGCCTCCATGCAAAGAAGTGTTGAGCAAATAAAGACATGGCCACTCCCAGCATCCCAGGACACCACACCAGAAAGCAAGCTGTGCGGGCCAAACAAGGATTTCAGTTTACAGGTTCATGCTGTAATACTCAGTGTTGCCCTTAACCCTTCATGACCTTGGGCCCAGTACAATCCAAGTTTGTCTCTGAGCCTGTGGGCATCAGTCTGGGCACTAGGTGACAGGAGCTACTGAGGACCAGTGAAGGCGTGGAAGCCCCTCTCTAGATCACATTCCCTTGTTTGCCTGTGTTTTTCCCGGGAAGTGGTTAGGTAGTGCTCAAAAGTGTGAGCTTTGGACCTGGTCTGCCTGGGTCCACCTTCAGAGGCCACCCTCTGGTTGTAAAGCCTTGAGCAATGTCCCTGAACCTCGGCTCCCTCACACCACGCTCACGGGTCCCTTCCCCCTGCTGTGCTCACCTATGGGCAGACTGGGGCCGATTGCATTCAATGTAGGCCTTCAGGGTGATGGCAAATTGCTCCTGCAGCTGGTCCACCACATGGTGCTGCACCACACCTGGGCGGTCTGGAGCAGAGGGGAGGGGAGGGAGATGTGGTGCAAACAAGAGCTCACTCGAGCCCAGAGTCAGGTATGGCTCACCAATCACCTTCCAGAGCTGGAGTCCCCCAGGCAGGAAAGTGAGGGAAGACCAGGGCTAGGCATCTCCCACTGACCCCAGGAGAAACCAGCAAGAGCCCCCATCCTGGCTGTGCAGTGAGTAAGAAGTAAGGTCGTGGACTACGACCTTCCCTGGGGAGGGCAGATGAGGCTGGGGGGATGTCAGCCACCCTGGGGAAAGCCTTCACCTGGGGAGAAGAGGGAGATGGCCTGCATCAGCACATACTCCTCCTCATGCAGCTGCAGCTTCTTCAGCATGTAGTGGAATTTCAGCATGGGCTCCAGTAGAAGTTGCTGGAAGCCACCTGTGGGTGGTAACAGGGTGGAGGGCAGCTTCGCAGCAAGCTGACCAAGAGCCAGTCATCCCCCACCAGGCTCTTATTTTCTACCACTCCATCTTCCTGCCCTGCCATCCCAGAACCTGCATATCCTGGCGCAGCTCCTTTCCTCCCACAATGGCGGTGTTTCCCTCCCTTTGCCAGGGCAGGCAGGCTCTCTCAGGCACCTGCAGTGTCTTCCAAGCAGTAGGACAGCCGGCCACACTCCCAGGTCCCAGTCTCTGCGTTGAACACTGTGTTGAATCTCAGTTGGCACAGCTCAAAAGTGGCCCCCTTCAGCAGGGAGATCTGGTCCTCAATGGGCAAGTCCCTGGCAGCAAGGATGGGGAAGGGAGGACAGCTCCCTGGGAGGTGGCCCACGGACCGGCACCAGCAGCCATCCCATAATCCGGAAGTTGGGGGCGAGAGGAAGAAGGAGGATGTTCCTTTCCCTGAGGATGGCTGTGGCTATTGTCTCATCTCTCCCCTCACAACCCAGCAGCAGACAGCTCTGCCCCCAAGTATCCTCTCCTCCCACTGAGCTCAGGGGACTCCACCTCCCACTGAGTTTGGCATCCAGGTCCCTTACAGCCCAGCCCCACCTCCTTCAACTCCAACACAACCCCTGACCTACTTTGCTTTGGCTTCTGGTCCCTGGACTTTTCCTTTCTGCCTCAGTTCCCCCCTCCCTTGGAATAACTGCCCCTTTAGTAAATCCTGCTAGCCCCTCAGGACAAGCTGTTTTTGCCCCTCCTAGAAGTCTTTCCAAAGTGCAGTCTCCCATTCTGGCCTGAGCTCCAGCAGTGGGGATGTTTGCTTCCTTTTGTCCGTGTTGGGTTTAATATGCACACACTTATTTCTACTGTTTCCTGCAGCCCAGACGCCTGCAGCCCCACTCCTAGCGCCAGAGCACAGGCCTAGCCATGGAGGTGACTTAATAGGCCTCTGAGACTATGGTTACATGGATACCCCTCTGGTTCTGCAGGGACCACTTTCTCCCAACGTGGGAGGGTCTCCCACCTCCCCTTACAAGAAGGAGGCTTGGCAGCCCAAGAGGGAGGCTGCTTATGCTAGGTTTTGAGGAAACACTACCTCTGGCCTTGGCCTCCTTGGGAACTCAGGCACTGGGCTCCTGGCGCTCATCCTTCTTTTAGATCCATAACACTGAGCTAGAAATGCCATGTAATTGATCTTATTCTCTGCCTCCCCATGGCCCGGCTTAGGATGTGGCATCGAGCTGGCTTTGGTACTTCCAAATCTGCCCTCCACCACTGATGAGCTGTGACCTTGTACAAGTTCCTTATCCTTGGGGAACCTCAGTTTCTATCTGAGAATGAAGATGTCAGTGACACCTCAGGTCATTGTGCTCAACACTGGTGGCCATGAGAAATGGCAAGTGGTGAGCCCTGGTGTTAAATTGTCCATCATTGGATTTCACCAAGGATCTTCCAGTGTCCACATTTATAAGTAGGCTTCTCTTCCTGCCCCATTCAAGCGAATTTTCCACCATCTGAACCCCATTCCAAACCTGCCGCCGGCGTCACCCCATTAAATAAGTCATGCATGACTCCTACGGGGCTGGAGAAGAACCTCTGGGCTCCTAGACTACAACCTACCCTCAACTTGCTGAAGAAACCAGGAGCTCCTGGCAGGTATTTCAGCCTGGCTTGACCAGGCTTGGCAAGGCAAGGTGGCCTACCCAAGAACAGATACACCTGCCACCATTCCTAACACTAACAGCATGCAGACATATTCTGGGGCTGTGGTTCCCTCCACCCCAGGAAGTTCCCATGTCTTCCACTAATCCCAGCTGCCCTGTGGTTGTTGCCTGCACATTTAGCTCTGGTGAGACCTGACCTTTGGGCTCTGAGGACCACCCACCCTCTCCATGGCCCTCACAGCCTTGTCTATTTCTCTCATTCTTTGCTCTAAAACTGCCAACGTGGTTCCTGAAACTTTCAGGGAGAGTAGGAAAGGGAATGATGATCTGAATGCCCACTGTGTGCTGGGTGCTCTTCAGATGTGTTCTCATTCCACAGAATGGCCCTGCAGGGGAGGTATTGTTAGCTTCCATCCAGCAGGTGAAGAGGCAGAGACGCTGGCAGGCCCACAGCCACAAAGCTAACCAGCCATGCAGCAATAGCTCTACTCCCCAGCAGCACTGGCTGCCCCGGGGGGTGGGGCACAGGAAAAAGAGGGTCTTTTGCCAGCAATATCCCCCAAATTCAGGAATCTACCCCCCAGGCCCTTTGAACCTCCTGGCCACACCCAACCACCCAGCCTCCATGTCCTACCTGAAGTAGGAGATGACTTTGGCAAAGTTGATGATGCCTTTGATCATGTAGGTTGACATGTCAGCCATGTGGGGCAGCAGGGAAAAGATCTCTTTCCCGCCATTGTCGGCTGGGGGTTTGTAGTTCCAGACACTGCCGTCCTCCCCCCGCAGCTGCAGAGAGACCTTCATAGAGCACAGATCTTTCCTGACCTGGCTCCACTTGGCAGCTTCTTCCCTCGATGGGGCCTGTAGAGACTCTGGCATCTCACAGCCACTGCTAAGCACCCCTGGCAACTAGGACACATGCCAGGAGGCAGAGAGAGGAGAGACAGCATGTGTTTTCATACATGCTCAGATCAAACATACATAGCCTCAGTTGTAGCCTGAAAGGATGCACAAATGCAGGCATTCATACTCACAGGCATGCATGTGTCCCCACACATACACACACACAACATTTGTTTCTTCTCTCCAGGTTCTCCTATCAGATGAAGGTGCTTTGGGGATCTATGAATTAATGGTCACACACATCCCTGCTGGGTCAAAATGGAGGGTAAGGGGGCCTCCAACCATGGTGTGTCCCACCGCATTCCAGATGTTGGGCTCAGGAGACTCAGAAAGTTTAGGGCAGTATGGATGGGAAGAACAGATCCGAGGTCACTGAGCTAATCCAGTTCTTTGGGCTGGGAAGGGCCACTTGAGATATCTATCAGTCCAAAGAAGAAGGAGGGCACTTGGAGCATAGATATGGTTAATGTGCTGGGATCAAGAGACACCAATTTGTGAAAGTCACACCCCCAACAGTTTCTGACCCTGTCCTCATAAAGCCCTGAATGCCAGCAACACTGGGGAACTGCCTAGCTTTCCCTCCACGTATTGCTCAGATCCAGTTCCTATCTGCTTTGAAGAAGAGAGCAGCAATTTTTAAACCTGAACCTGCAACAGAATCACCCGGGGGGTCCTGCCCCTCCCTGGAGCTTCTGATTCTGGAGGTCTGGGGTGACCTGCAAATCCGTATGCTGATGCTGTTCACCCAGGGACCACACTAGAACTCTGGGAATGAGACCGAGGCTCTGAAGAGCTAGCACAGATGCAGGGACAGCTCCCCAGCCTCCTACCCGGAAATTCTTGAAATGGGAGAAGGTAGTGTCAAAGGTTTTCATCTGAGCATCCATCAGCTCCCTGATCATCATCTGCTGCTCTTCCGTCAGCCCCTGTATTTCTGGTGGCTGAGTCTCAATCCGTTCTCTTTTCTTCCTCTTGATCAAGGCCCGTCTCTCCTCCACAGCCACATCAGACATGATCACTGCGGGGACAGTGAGGCTGGCTCAGGCACACGTGCCCCTGGTCGGCCTCCAGCCCCCTGGGAAGCCATTACATAACACTTTCAAGGCAGCAGAAGGCATTAGGCATTAGGGAAAAGATGGTGACAAGCAATTCTCCCCTGTCCAGACTTGAGAGGCCTATGGGCTCCTCTGGAGAAATACCTGGGTGAGGACAGAACTGGGGTGCAGCTGCTGTGTTGCTCTCTGCAGTGGGGTTTGTGAGGACACTGTGGGGCCCTGGTAAGAGCATGGGCTTCAGAAGAATACAAAGGTGCTGGGTTTGCATGAAAGCTTTGCCACTTACTACCTGTGACCCCAAGCAACCTCCTTAACCTCTCCTGCCTTCAGGTTTCTCCTTTGTAATCTGGAGGAAACGTGTTTACCTCGTACCACTGTTAAATGAGACCTTGGATGTAGAGTGTCCAGTATAATTCCTGGTACATAAGAGATGTTCAATAAATGGCATCTACTGTTATCATTTTCTGGTGAATTATATACCAAGACTTTCAGAGGTGTCTGGGTCTCTGAGACCCCAGAGAGCTGGGCTACAGCTTAGCAAGAAATAGGAACTCTAGACACTTCCTGTATAGCCTGGAGCCTTTGGGTCTTCTGTGGATTTCTGGAGCCCACTGTATGTGTAGAGCAAAGCTATGAGGTCCTTGGTGGGGAGAGATGGAGGACGCCTGCCAGCAGCCTAGAGAACTTGTTCTTGAAAGAAGCAGCTTTGGGTCCCTTTGTGTTCCATGGACACAAACACGCACTAGAAGCGTCTAGCCTCTTCCCCATGAGCCTTAACGCAGAGTGACCTGGGAGCACGGATGTATCAAAGTTAAACAGCAGAATGAGGACGCCTCATGGTCACCTGTCTGCAAACAGTTCCCCTATAAAGATCCAGGTCTGGGGCGGCTGATGGGCTAGTAGCTAGAAGGCTGGGGGTCCTATCACCAATGTGGCTCCTGCTTCCCTCCCCCAGATTCACACCCCTATCCCCAAATGTGGTTTTAAACCATCAGAACAACTATGAGGGGGACAAAAAGAATCATGCAGGAGCAGCTGAGGGGAGACAGAGAGCACGCCCTGGCCAGAGCTGCCCAGCACATCTCCTGGGGCAGAGATTACTGGACTCCCTCCATCTCCACCTGGCCGGCTGGAAGCGCTCCCCCAGATGGCTGCCTGTTGCGCCCCAACACCAGCTCACAAGTGCACGTGCGCTCACGCGCACACTCGTCTCCCATCTCCACTCACGCAGCACACACCCACGGCACGTCCCTACACGGAGTCGTGCGCCCCGGCCCCCGGCCCGTCCGCGCGCCCGCTGCTCACTCTCCTTCTTCATGCCGCTCTCCAGGCACTTGCGCAGGCGACAGGCCTGACACTGTCGCCGGGTCTTCCGGGTGATCTCGCAAGCGCCCTTCCGGAAGGGGCACCTCAGCCGGGCGTTGCGTTTCATGGCCCTCCTGTGAGAGAGAACGGGGAGCAGAATGGAATCTGCACCCGCGCCCGGGCCCTTGATCTGGGGCTCCAGGCCACACCACCTCCCTCCCTACCGACTCGGGGACGGGGACACCAACCTTTGCGTCCCAGCTGGGTCAGGTTTTATGGGAAAGGTGTAGGTGGGCGTCCCTGAAAGTCCAGGACTCGGCTAGAGGCGGCAGGGCCGGGGAGGAGATGTTTTCTGGCCATTACCGCAGGAAATAGGACGCGTGCTTTTCACAGGCGCCTACAGCTCCTGGGACACTTTCTGGGACACTTCAGCTCCAGGTCCATCCCCAGCGCCTTCCCCTCTTCCTGAAACCCCTGTCCCCTCCTCTTTCACACCCTTGTTACCAGACGGTTTCCATGGAGATGGGCCTATTCCTCGATTTCCCCTCCTTAAAAGAGGGAGCCGAGGAAACCTGACCCGAGGACGGTAAGAAACCAGAGAAGCCCCCCGCCTTTCCTTGCTCCGCTTCTTCTTGACTGGGCAGCCAGGGAGGAAGGGGTGAACTATGGGGAAGCTTTTCTACCCCGCGGGACAGCGGCTTCCCCATGGCAGAGTGGATTCCCCTCGTTGACCTAAGGGGCAAAGAGGTCCAGCGCCTGGAATAGCAGAGCGTGCAGGCGGGACCCACCGGCCCGCACAGAGGCGGTGAGCAGAGAAGCAATGGGGCAGACGCCTTTTGGAGACGCTGGTGCAACATTCTCCTCTTCCCAGCCCAGAAGTCCTGCACAAAAGACACGGTTGGTGCAGCCCTTCCTTTATTTTTCCTATTTCCACAGCTGGATGGAAAGAAACAAATTATCCCTTGGCTCAGGCTCTGGTCCAGAGTGGAAACTGAGGAAGGCTGCCCCAGAAGGACAGAACAGCCAGGTAAAGCTGCAGAGATCCCTGAGGGCAGGCCTGGAAGGCTGAGCCAAGCCCGCAGTGACCCGGCAGGGTTGAGCTTGGAGGCCTCGGGCCTCGGACCAGTGACCAGCTGAGGGGCATCTTCTTCACAGACGCCATCTCTGCCTTTTGCCCTCCCAACTGGCTTGGGGAGGAAAGCCCTGATGCTACATCAAAGTCCACCCAGAGTGAGTAAAAGATGAAACCGGGGCGCACATTGATTAAAGGTGTGCTATGTATCAGATGCTGGGCTAGGTATTTTGCAGTTTTGCAAATTTAGATCTCAAACCCTGTGAAATCTGTAATCTTATCTGCCTGGCACAGAGGAGGGAGACTGAGGCCTGGAGACAATGGATCCCCAGCTGTCCTCTGGGTACATGACAAGCTGAAATTTGAATCCAGGTCTGCCTGATACTGGATTTAGCCCTTGCCCACTAAAACATGTTGCCTCTTTCTGGGAGTCCCAGAAATAGTACCCCAAAAAAGGAAGGGAGGGCAGAAGACTCCCGCACTCCGAGGCAGGATGCATGGACATTGCATGGGCAGCCTCTTCTGTGCCAGCAGTATCTGGAGCTGGTGCAGACATCCACCCTCTTCCATGCAGCCGTGTGGCATGTGCCCAGCTCAGGGACATATCTGGTGCTCTTTGCTAGTGACTAGTTCAGGCATAGGCTGGACCCAGCTCTAGCCAATGTGAGGGGCCTCCTGGGAAAGGTTTGTTTGCTCTCAAAGATGGGCCTTTGTATGCCTCTGCTGAACCTCATGATTCCTGCCTGGGGCCCTGGCACCCACAGGGGAGTGGGATTGCAATCAGAGCTCTCAGGTGGGATGGCTGAAGAGAAAAATGGAAAGAACCTGAGCTGCTGAACTCACCAAACTGGAGGCCTTCAGACTTCCTGTTAAGAGAGGTAATGCATTTTCCTTATTGCCAGACCAATTTGCAATGAGTGTCCTGTGACTTGTAGCTGAACCCAGCCTGACCCTGCTGATGTGTCTCACCCCTATTATAACTCATGCAACACAAATGTTCATTTCTCCCAGGAACTTGCCCATTTCCACTCAAATAAATGCCCAGCCTCCGGGAAGAATTCTGCAAAGGGCCAAGTCAGGCTGGCTGTCTTGGGAATGCATGAGGGTCCTGCATGTGGCCCCTGAGGTGGAAGCTGCGCCTTACATACCCTATCCCCTCTGCAGGGTGCACTGGAAGTGCTTCCTCACACATGGAAGGTATAATTTGCAAAACTGCAAAATACCTCACACATTTCTTCCCTTCCCTCCCTCCCTTCCCCTCAGTCTGCTTCTCTTGCCATGGGCTCAGCCCTGTCCCAAGGGTAGCCTTGCTGAACTGGCTTCACTCTGTTTCTTCAGCTGGACAACATCAGCGCTTCTGTCCAGGCCTGCCTTGCTATGAGCTGGGACTTTTTAGACCATGTTTTTGGTCCTCCCTGTTAGTCTGTTTCTAGGTGACCTTATTTTGTTATATTTTTCATTTATTTTATGCCATTCTTTACATAACAACCAACCCAGAAGGTAGATATGAACACTTGGATTTGGGATTTTCTAATTCCTTATCTTTTATTGAGTCATCTTCTCTTTTATTCAAGAGCACATGGAGAAGCCCAGGGATATCTTAATGGAAGGAGACCTTTCCTGAAGATGAAGGATTCCTCTGGGATATAAATGGATCCCTTGAGACTCTTTCAAGGCCTTTGGGAGGGCCACCAGCCCACACTCTGAACCTGGGGGGGACAGGTCAAGCTGAGGCACTGACATGTTATCCAGTGGGTTAGTGGCAGACCCCAGTTAGATGTGACCCAGCGTTGTCAGTGGTGGCAGGTGGGTGAAGGCTGATGGGTAACTTACCTGAAAAAGCCCTTGCATCCTTCACATGTCATGACATTGAAGTGATAACCAGTGGCCTTGTCCCCACATACACGGCAGATTTGGGGACCCCCAACTTCCTTATCTGCCTTGACAGTGGGCTTTCCAGGAACAGACTCTGTGTCCCTCCAGCGTACGAAGTCAGCATGGTTCCAGCTTTCTTTGGGTCTCACCTCCAGGTTTGCTTCTGGGCCTCTTGGACTAGAAGTGAGAAAACCACAGAGAATGAAAAGGCTGGATAGGGATGTGTGGAGGCCTCAGACGAAACATTCTGTCTCTTACATGCATCACTCACATTTGGGCCTGTGGAGTCAGGAGCTGACCTCTCATGGGGAAGAAAACGGGGGAGTTAGGGCTGGAATTGTTATAAAGAGAGCTGTAATCATGATGTTTTGTACACAAAAATAGAGCCCTGGAGTAGAACATATGAATAAGAACATGGAGCGAGAAGAGTAAGAGGGGAGGAGGAAATGAGAAGAAAAGAGAGCAGGCTGTCTGGGTCGGATTACAGAGGCCACACCTGAGTGGACTGAGGTTAGGAGGACATGAGTTGGCCAGAGGTCTGAATGGCAAGCAGCTCATGGGACAGATTACTGGTTCATGATGATTTCCGGGATTGGGGACATTAAGGGAGGATAGTCCTTCAGGTGGGGTGTGGTCCACGCTCCCAGAGGGACCTGGAAAGGCTGGGAAGAAAGAGAGTTTTCAACTAAGTAGCCAAGCAGATGGGGAAAAAGTGGATGCGGGGTGGGCAAGATCACAACAGGGGAAGAAAAATGGCCAATGGTCCCAGCAGAGCTGGAGTCTAAGTGGATATTGAAGAACTGCTGCCTATTAATAGAGCTGCGGCTAAGCATGGTGGCTGATGTCTGTGATCCCAGGGCTTTGTGAGGCTGAGGCAAGAGGAGCGCTTGAGCCCAGGGGTTTGAGACCAGCCTGGGCAACAAAGTGAGATCTTTTCTCTACAAAAAAATAAAAAAAAAACTAGCCAAGATCAATGGCGTGAGCCTCTAGTCCCAGCTACTTGGGAAGCTGAGGTGGGAGGATCGCTTGAACCTGAGGGTTTGAGGCTGCAGTGAGCTAGGACCATGCTGGTGCACTCTAGCCTGGGTGACGAAGTGAGACCTCATCTCTAAAAGAAAGAAAAAAAGAAAAACATCGAGCTGTACTCAAGGATGTCCTCCCCCGATGACTTGTACCTTGAGAGCATAACTTGAATTCTTCTTGGATATTCAGCAGAAGTGGGGGACTGTCCTGTTTACTACTGTACCCCAAAGTCTGTTTAGGTACTGATTGCCAAGGGCAGCAACCACCACAGGTGATGATGATTTTTCTAAAGCCAAAATCAAAATTTCAGTAAAATTCTAACACATAAATTTCTAACATCATTACAGGTGATATCTGACAGTTTCATCTGTAAGAGTAAACAAGGAATTAATCTGTCTCTGACCCTGACCCTCCATTACACTATGAATAATATATATTGACTGGAAACCTGAACTGAACAGGCATGGGGGAAAATCTCTCCTGATTTTTCACATCATAATCCTGACCTCAAGCTTGCAGACAAAATGTATACAACCTCAGGCCAAAAAGTTGATTTAAGATTTAAAGTGCTCCTTTTTTTTTTTTTTTTTTGAGATGGTGTCTTGCTCTGTCACTCAGCCACACCCAGCCAATTTTTTTATTTCTACTAGAGACAGGCTTTTACCATATTGCTCAAGCTGTTCTCAAACTCCTGACCTCAAGTGATCTACGCACCTTAGCCTCCCAAAGCGTTGGGATTACAGGCGCGAACCACTGCTCCCGGCTAGAAATCCTCCTTTTTGAAAGAACTCACTTTCCACTTTCTACCTAGGCACAAATAATCACATATAATTTCAAAGAAATATGAGCAAAAATTCAGACGTCGTGATTGAAAAGACCAGCACAGCATGATGAGCAAGAGTCAGCAAAAAAACAACTAGCATTAGACATGAGAAGATGCCCTGAATTATCAAACAGAAATGTTTAAGGAAACAGTACAAGAGGTTGAAGACATAAAGAATGAAAGACCTTAAAATTGACCAAGGAGATTTGAAAAATGAATAAAAATTTACTATGAAAATCTGAATAAACAATGACTCCATAAACAAATAATAATAATATGTTGGGAGTTAGGAAAGGCAAAATACAACTAAAATATGGATGGACACAGTGAAAGTTTTCTAAGGTTCTGTATTGTTGAAGGGAAAAAAGATGGTAAATTTTAGATTGTCATTAGTAAAGCATGTTTGATGAAATGTCTAGGGTTACCACTAAAAGTCTAAAAATTGAATACATAACTTGGAAGCTAATAGAAAGGAAAAAGTAGATGAAAAAAGTTCAAAAGAAGGCAATTAGAGAGTTAAGAAACCGAAATGGTGAGACAAATAGAAAACACAAGACGTGTGGTATAAATACCAAATAGGGGGCTGGGCTCGATGGCTCATGCCTCTATTCCCAGCACTTTGGAAGGCCAGGGTGGGCGGATCACCTGAGGTTAGGAGTTTGAGACCAGCCTGGCCAACATGGTGAAACCTTGTCTCTACTAAAACTATGGAAAGTTAACTGGACATGGTGGCAGGCGCCCATAATCCCAGCTACTCGGGAGGCTGAGACAGGAGAATCGCTTGAACCCGGGAGGCAGAGGTTGCATTGAGACTGTGCCATTGCCAAATATGTTGGTAGGTAAATGTAAATATATTAAAAGACACCGAGAGACTAGATGTGGTGGCTCATGCCTGTAATCCCAGCACTTTGGGAAGCTGAGGAGGGCAGATCACTTGAGGCCAGGAATTCGAGACCAGCCTGGTCAACATGGAGAAAAACCATCTCTACCAAAAATACAAAAATTAACTGGATGTGGTGGTGCGTGCCTGTAATCCCAGCTACTTGGGAGGCTGAGGCATGAGAATTGCTTGAACTTGGGAGGCAGAGGTTGCAGTGAGCCGAGATCATGCCACTACACTCCAGCCTGGTGACACAGCGAGACTCTGTCTCAAAAAAATAAATAAAATAAAAAATAAAAGCACACTGAGAAAGATGGTTTCAGCAGATGGCTGCAGCCATCTTAGGTTCAGGATTAGTATTTGGGGGCAGATTTTGTATTAGAGAATAAGGAATGGAACAGACACCAAAATGGAAACTAATGATTATTCAAAATCAGTGTTTCAGGTCCTTTGTAAAAGGTCACTCATTGTCTTAGTTCATTCAGGTTGTCATAACAGAATATCAGAAACTGAGTGGCTTATAAACAACAGAAATTTATTTCTCATGGTTCTGGAGGCCAAGAAGTCCAAGATTAAGGTACGAGGAGATTTAGTGTCTGATGAGAGCCTGCTTCCTGTCATCTATGGCATCTTCTCCCTGTGTCCTTGTATAGTGCAATGGGCTAGCCAGCTAGCTTTTTGGGTCTCTGGTGTCTCTAGGGTCTCTCTCTCTCTCTCTCTCTCTCTGAGACAGAAAAAAAAGCAACAAAACTTGGCCACCTAGGCTAGAGTACAGTGGCGTGATCTCAGCCCACTGCAGCCTCTACCTCCTGGGCTCAAGCAATCCTTCAACTCAGTCTCTTGGGACTACAGGTGCATGCCACCTTATGTAGCTACTCTTTTTTTTTTTTTTTTTTTCATTTTTAAAAGAGACAGGATTTCCCCATATTGCCCAGGCTTGTCTACAACTTCTGGGCTCAAGTTATTGCCTGCCTCAGCCTCCCAAAGTGCTGGGATTACAAGCATGGGCCATCACTTCCAGTATCTCATTCGTAAGGATACTAACTCAATCATGAGGGTGGAACCCACGACCCAGTCACCACCCAAATTCCCCACTTTCCAAAGCCATCACACCGGGGATGAGGATTTCAACATATGAATTTGGGGAGGACACAAACATTCATAACATGCCACTCATTTATTCCTCATAACAGTCATCATAACATTTATCATTTTGCAACAAACGTGTTGATCATCTACTACACACCAGGTATATTCTGTTGTGTATTCCAAACAACTTGGAAGTCACTCTTATGGCAAAAACTCAGGGACTTTACAAAATCCTCTAACTGTTCACAGACACAAAGAGTGCTCCAAAATCAAAGAGCATCACAGGCAGAGAAAATTTCATTAGTAGATAGTATTTCAGAGTGTACATTGAAGGAGAACAACCTCCCTTAAGTTTCCAGCATCATTCAAAAGCCAGGAGGGATAGCAGCATCTGGGGCAGTGGAGGCAGTTGCAAAGATTCTGCATGTCAGTTATAAACTTTAGGCAACTGAAGATGGTGAGATGATGTTTCCTCAGCAATAAATGTAAATGCTCTTCCCCAGAATGGAAGTGACAATTACAACATGACTACATGAATCACAGGAGAAGCCAAACAGGTGATGTGGACCAAGAAGATAAAAGAAATGTCACTAAAGGACCAGAGAAAGACATTGATTTAAACCATGTCTAATTAACACTTTCCCCAATTTCTTAATGAGAAGACAGTAGAATTAATGCCAGAATCTCACTCCATGGTATTTGCATAACTTTCATTTTGTTTTGCACGAGTGTTAAGCAAGCCGACTTTGGCACATTCTGTAGTTCCTTCTCTCATATGTATATGAAGCCCCAGCTAAAGAACTCATGACAGCTGTTATCCAAGGTGGCCCCCAAGGAACCATGCCCCACAAGATTCACACCCTTGTGCAGCCCCTCCCATAATGAGTCTAGGATGGTCTGTGACTTGCTTAGTTAATAGAATGTGGGGAAGAGATGATTATGGGCCTAAGCTGTAAGAAGCCCAGTAGTTTCTGCTTTTGTCTTTGGAGAACTCTAAGACACCGAGTAACAGTCTGGCTACCCTGCTTGGTGACCACCCAAAGAGACCATGCGGAGAGGCCATGTGAAGAGGGAGAGCCCTGAGATCGCACCGATCAGAGAGGCCCAGCCACCCTAACCTCCTGGCTGTCCTCACCAAGGAGCGGATGTGTGGGTGTGTCCTCTTGGACTCCCCAGCCCAGTTACACCTCCAGATGACTGCAGCCTCCGCCAAGGTCCTGTGGTGCGGAAGAACTCCCCAGCTGAGCCCAGCCAACACAGAAAATCATGTCAGAAAATGAAACAGTAATGGGTTTAATCCAGTAAGTTTAGGGGAGATTTGTTACCCAGCAAGAAATAATGGAAGCAGAACCCTTGGAATTGGGTTAGAAATAGATCTGAACTGGGGTGATGAGGGTGCCAGCCCAGCAGCCACAGTGCTGCTCCCATGCCACTCTTCCATCACTGTTCCTTTACAGAATGGTGCCCTCTGGACAGGAAAATGACAGTGACTGGGTGTGTGGTGTGTGCCATCCACGTCTCTCTTTCCTTCGAATTTAGTGAGACCAATTAGAGGTGTACTTTTAACTGAATACAGCTGTGTTTGCTTCTGAGCGCTGCACCTGCTTCTCATGGTGCTTAGTAATCAGTGAAATCTCTCCAGAAGAGGGTTGAAATGATTATCTCCTTACTCAGTGAAAGTAAAACATTTCTTCAGAGAGGACTTGGCAAAGATAATTGTAAAATTCAGTATGCAGGGTGAATATTAAAGCTAAGGACTATGTTCTCAGAAAGAAAGAATATAATTCATTTAATAAATGAGTAATAAATAAATGAATTTAGTCTTTCTATATGACTAAAATTATTGATTTGCCGAAGGCACCATCAGGCTGCACTGAGCACACACAGCCCCTCTCCTCTTCAGGTGGGTGATTCATTGACTTTATTTAGCTGCTAGGAGGTGGAGCCAGAATCTCAAACCATGTCAGTCTAATTCCAAAACCTGTGTTCTTAATTCAGTGCTATGCTGCATCCTTCACAAGGTTTGTTTTTGAGTGGGTGAACCATTTATCAAACTTTCTTCATTTCCATGATTGCCTGCAAACTTTTCCTAGGTGGTTCACCCCAGACAGAGTCCCTACATGCCACGGGACTCTTTTAATGTAGCTCTCTGTTGCCAGGCAGGAAGTGATTCACTAAGACCCTTACTTCTTTTCTTTCCATTTCAATTCCAGCTATAGAAGAATGAACTGAGGAACCTTGCTGCCACTGTGACCAGATCCAGAGGTATCTTGTCCCATACACATTGAAGGACTTGAGCCCAGGAGTTCAAGACCTGCCTGGCTAGTATAGCAAGATCCCATTCTCCACAAAAAAAGGGAGGAAAAGACAAAAAATAATAATTATTTTTATTAATGAAAAATAAATGGAAGATAAAATAGACAAGGGAATGAAGGCAAGGAAAGCTTCAAAGGGGAACTGTGATCTATAGAAAAGTAAAATACTCATAATAGCCAAAATAATGTTGAAAGAGAAGAACCAAGTTGGAGGGTTACACTTTTTGATTTCAAAACTTACAACAAAGCTAAAATAACCAAGATAATGTGGCATTAGTATAAAGACAGATACAGAGACTGACGGATCAGAATTGAGATTCAAGAAATAAACCCTGACTTATTGTTATCATCAATTGATCTCTGGTAAAAATGCAAGGCGATTCAATGGAGGAAAGACCAGCTTTGCTAAAAAACGGTGCTTGGGAAATTGGATATTCACATTCAAGACGAGTTAAAGCTCTTACCTCATGCCATACAAAAAAATTTACTCAAAATGGATCCCAAAATCATAGACCTATATGTAAGCCTCCTGGAGGTCAGAGGACCTTGTTTTTTGCTCCCTGGAGCTGGACATGTAGTGGGCATTGTCTTGTTGTCATAGTCAGGAGGCCAGATCCTAGCCCTTGCCACTGATGTTGAATTAACTCACTTTACTCACTAACTTCTCTGGTGCTTAGTGTCCCTACAATAAAATGGAAGCTGATAAGAGAGACCAACATGGCCTTGGGCATGAAGAGGAAGAGGAGAGTCACTGCTGCAGCGGGTGTTGTCATAGACAGATCTGGCAGGGCAAGAAGTGAGGGGGGAGGAGGTGGGAGGAACCAGAAAGGCAGACGCCACTCAGATGCTGGCCCAGGGGAAGCCCCAGGAGTTGAGCGCAAGTCCTCCAGAGAACACAAGTTTGAACGTGGAGAGAAAGAAACCGACAAGAGCGGTGCAGCTGGAGATAGCAATGGAGGGGAATTGGAAAGAAAATGTGTGTGAAGTTTCTGCTACAGAAGAAGCAAGTCTCCCAGGAGTATGTAGAGAGGCAAGGAATAGGGTTGGGAGGGAGGGGAAAAGGGGAGAGCAGCACAAGGCTTGAGAGAGCTCAGGGCTGGACAATGGTGCAAGAAAGGGATGTGAAGCAGCCTTGAAGGATTAAAACTAGACAGAGCCTGCTGTGTGGGCCTTGACCAGCAGAGGACAGTGGGTTACAAGGAGGCTCAATGCAGGGACTCTTGCAAGTCCCCTGTCTTGGGGCTGGGAAAGGAGTCAGGGAAGAATTTCAGGTTGTGTCAGGCTGAATGAGATCCTGCTTGAGTTCTAGGGACCTGGGGTTTTCTGAACAACAGGGGATGAAGCCGTGAGATGAGGCACACTTGGTGTGAGTGTTTAAATGATTTCAGATGATTCAGTGGTACAGGGTAGATCATGACTACAAACTAGAAAAAACATCACAGAGTTGAACGATTATGCATGTTCCTCCCCCTGCGGGAGAAACACGAGGAAGGGAAGGAGTAAAGGGAGGTGCTGGGAGGAGACCTTTGGAATCCAATATTTAGAGACTGTGCATGAGAACATGGGTGAGTTATCATGTATCTGAGGCTGCAGATACATCTGGGGCCAACAGTCCAGGAATTGGAATTGGGTACAGACATGGGAAATGCAAGAAACAATGAAATGATCAGTAGAAGGTGCAAGACACTGCCTAGTAGGTTGGGAAGTTTAGTAGCAATGGAGGACAAAGGAGAAAATCCCACAAGGGCAGAAAAAGCAAAACACTGGAAAGGGAGAAAAGCCCTTCTCAGGGCCTGGTGGGACATAGTTTGAGAAACACGGAGAGAGGGAAAACTAAAGCAGTGAGAATGGGGAATTGTAGTTTAGAAAGAGTCACGAAGCAACGTGAAAGAAATTCAAGCAAAAGAATAGAACCTAGCCTTGACTCTTTTGGGGCACAGGTGATGGGAGGGAGGAGGCAGCATTAAGGGATGAGGAAGGCTGATTAGGGAGAGGCCCCGAGAAACCTCAGGTGATGGGCATGTTTCTTAAGAGAGTAGGAGATAAGAAGAGGGCTGCTGGCCATGCAGAGGCTAGGGAAGAGTCACAGGCAGACACGCTGTAGTGCTGTGTTGTAAACAAGGGAGGCAGGGCTGACCGGCTGAGCAGAGCTGGAGACGGATGGAGTTCACAGTACAGTGCCTCAGAGCCCTTTCAGCTCCTTCTCCTGCCCGGCCGTCTTCCCGTCCCCTTGCAGGCACACAAAGTTTATCCTTTCTGAGGCATCCCTTACGGTCTAGTCTGCCTACATTGAACTTTTCCCTGCTAACGGATCTCCAGGGTTTCAGACTGGGACATTGCTGTCTGGGACGCAGCTAGTCTTCACTTCTGCACTTGCCCAGCTCCCTTGTTGGCCTCTGTACTGATCAGCCCCAGCCAAGAGCCGACTCCTCAGCCAGTGGTATTTGGAAGAGAAGTTTCATCTCATGTTCAGGTTAGTCAATGGGTGAGTAGAGGTGTTCTTAGCTTATGTGGGTTCTGAGGCTTACATAATTTGGCCAGCCCTATTTTATTTTATTATTTTTTTGAGATGGAGTTTCGATCTTGTCACCCAGGCTGGAGTGCAGTGCTGTGACCTCAGCTCACTGCAACCTCCACCTCCCAGGTTCAAGCAATTCTCCTGCCTCAGCCTCCTGAGTAGCTGGAACTCCAAGACATGGGCCACTACACCCGATTAATGTTGTATTTTTAGTAGAGACAGGGTTTCACCACGTTGACCAGGCTAATCTTGAACTCTGGACCTCAGGTGATTCACCAGCTTTGGCCTCCTAAAATGCTGGGATTATAGGCGTAAACCATGGTGCCTGGACTGGGCAGTCCTATTTAAGTAAAAAGAATACAGGCCAGATGTGGGGGCTCATGCCTCTAATGTCAGCACTTGGGGAGGCTGAGGTAGAAGAATCAATTGCGAGCAGGTGTATGAGACCAGCCTGAACAATATAGCAAGACCCTCTTTCAAAAAAAAGGCTGAGTGAGTCACACCTATAATCTCAGCACTTTGAGAGGCCAAAGTGGGAGGATCAAGTGAGCCCAGGAGTTCACCAGTCTGGGTGACATGATGAGACCCCATCTCTACAAAAAAAATGTAAAAATTAGCCAAGTGTGGTAGCACATACCTCTGGTCCCAGCTACTCGGGAGGCTGAAGTGAGAAGATTGTGAGCCCAGAAGTAGGGGCTTCAGTGAGTCTTATTCACACCGCTCCAGTCTGGGCAACAGAGTGAGACTGTCTCAAAAACAAAAACCACACACACCCAAAAAATCAAACAGAATCTTAGCTGGGCATGTTGGTGAATGCCTGTAGTCCTAGCTACTCGGGAGGCTGAGGTGGGAGGACTGCTTTAGCCTAGGAGTTCAAAGCTGCAGTGAGCTCATGCCACTGCATTCCAGCCTGGGTCACAGAGTGAGACCCTAAAAAATAATTTTAAAAAATACTAAATTACAAATGCAAAATTATGTACAAAAGAGGATATTTGTAAGAAATAATAAGAAAAGAAATCACAACAAATGACAAATATTAAAAAGGACAAGTAACAAACCTCACAGAATCCAGAAAAATGGCGTAACTTTTTAATAAACTAATTGCCTGGCATGCCTCTTTGTTTTTGATTATGTCCTTGTGGTAGATAGAAGATGCCTGCATCCTTATCCCCAGAACACGTGAATATGTTTCCTTTTTTTGGCAAAAGGGTCTTTGCAGATATGATGAGGGTACAGACCTGGAGATGCTATTCTGAAACATACAGGCAGGCCTAGTCTAATCACATGAATTTTAAAATTAGAAAAACTTTCCTGGGTTTGGTCAAAGGGAGGTGTGATGTGGAAAAAGGGTCAGATGCTAAGTTGCTGGCTTTGATGACAAAAGAAGGGGCTGTGAGCCAAAGAATGCAGTGGCATCTAGAAGCTGGAAGAGCCAAGGAAACTGATCCTCCCCTACGATCTCCAGAAGGCAACCTCCACTGATTGGGCCAAGTTGGGATGCCTCGCCCTGGTGGTCCTATCCTGCCTCTCTGCTGCACTGTAACTCTGGTTTGTTTGTTTCTTTGTTTTTTAAGACAGAGTCTTGCTCTTGTTGCTCAGGCTGGAGTGCAATGGAGTGATTTCGGCTCACTGCAACTTTTGCCTCCTGGGTTCAAGCAATTCTCTTGCCTCAGCCTCCTGAGTAGCTGAGATTACAGGCACCTGCCACAACGCCCAGCTAATTTTTGTGTTTTTAGTAGAGATGGGGTTTCACTATGTTGGCCAGGCTGGTCTCAAATTCCTGACCTCAGGTGATCCACCAGCCTCAGCCTCCCAAAGTGCTGGGATTACAGGCGTGAGCCACCGCGGCCGGCCTGCACTGTAACTCTTCCCTCTTGCCTGAGTGGCAAGGATTGAGGCTGCTCATTTTCCTTGTGGTAACTCTGGAGGAGGAAAAGTGGACTTTGGTTAGAAGAGAATGAATGGGCAGCAAGGTTCTGGGGTTACAGTGAGATCTGACTGTTAGTCCTTTTTGTATTGCTATAAAGGAATCTGAGGCTGTGTAATTTATGAATAAAAGAGGTTTGTTTGGTTCATGCTTCTGAAGGCTACACAGGCATGGCACCGGCATCTGCTTCTAGTGAGGTCTCAGGAAGCTTCCAAGCATGGTGAAAGGTGAGGTGGGAGCTGGCATGTCACATAGTAAGAGGGAGCAAGAGAGAGAGGAGGAGGTGTTGGGCTCTTCAAACAACCAGCTCTTATATGAACTAAGAGTGAGAAGTCATTCAATACCGAGGGTATCAAGCCAGTCATGAGGGATCAACCTCCATGACCAACCTCCCACTAGGCCTACCTCCAACACTGGAGGTACGTTTCTTTTCTTGTTTGTTTTTTGTTTTTTATATGGAGTCTTGCTCTGTGGCCCAGGCTGGAGTGCAGCACTGTGATCCTGGCTTACTACATTCTCCTGCCTCAGATTCCCGAGTAGCTGGGATTACAGGCATGTGCCACCATGTTCAGTTAATGTTTTTTTTTTTTTTTTTTTTTTTTAGAGATCTGAAGTTATTTTATTTTTATTTTCTTCACTTTAAGCCAATCATGAAATTTCACAGTGATTTCTGGGGTTGGGCAGAAGGAAGGTGGTGTTAAAAATCATCAGTGCTGTGGCCCAGTTGGCCCGTGGAAGTGCAGGCAGGGTGGACCCTCACTGAGGCAGCTGGAGGAGTACAGATTGCCCCATAGGTGATGTTCTGGGAGCCTAAGAGCTGGTGCGCGACGTCCTCTGCAGCTTCCAGCTTGCACAGCTCAATCAGGACTGTCAGTTTCCAATTGGATATTCAGTTTGTTGTATCAATGTTTCATAGAGGTTCAGGAGGTGTTGCAGGGAACTTTTCCCAGCCCCCTTCAAGTCGTGCAATCTAAAAGGCCCCTGTGTGCAAGAGGCATTCCCTACACACTCCTTATTACCTGCCCAGGTTGTGCCCAGGACACTAGTATCTGAAGTGTGAGGATAAGAGACTGATGGCTCAGTGAACAGAAAATGGCAGCCATACTAAGAATTTGAATTAATGTCCACATTCCCTGAATTTATTGTTCTTTTTATTGAAAAAATCATGGGTCTGCATTCCAAGGGTCCTAGTGACTATTGGGTCATCTCTGCTTCCATTACCCTTGGGATGAGCTGTATAATTAGCTATGGAAATAAGATAAGGAAATTAATAAATGCCAAAGAGCATTTAATAAAACTCAGTACTCATTCATAATTTATAATTCTTGGTTATCCAAGAGGAATAGAAGAGAACTTCACTAACTTGATATAGAATAGTTACCAAACACTTTTACTATGTATCTTATTGGAGAACCATTAGGATCAATCTTATTAAAATAAAAAATAAATATTTTATTGCTGGCACTATGATGGAGAAGGTGGTTGGAGAAAATCCTCCTGGCATAGAGCACCTAAAAATACTAGATAAAGTTTTAAGAATATCATTTTTCATGCAGGATTGCACTGGTAGGAAAGTAAAGGAAGTCTCAAGAGGCCACAATTTATGAGATAATGCTAAGCCAGAGGCATGAGAAAGGGGAGTCAGTGATCATCCTGGGGTTTTCTGGACTCCTGTAGGCCTGGAGCCTGGATTTTAATGGTAGCATAGGATGCAAAGCCTATAATCTCTAACCAGATTAGAGATTATAAACTCAGGATCCCCTATGGGTAACATCCTCAGTAGGAACTATGGAGGGAGACAGGTCTGTCCCAGGCCTTCTCAGCCTTCACTCTGGGTGGAGCAAAAAGAAAAGGCTTCTTTGAGATTCTTAACAACAGGCCTGTAATAAGGTAAGTTTGGGCCGGGCATGGAGGCTCAAGCCTGTAATCCCAGCACTTTGCCGAGGCGGGTGGATCACGAGGTCAACAGATGGAGACGGTCCTGGTCAACATGGTGAAACCCCGTCTCTACTAAAAATACAAAAAATTAGCTGAGCATGGTGGCACGTGCCTGTAATCCCAGCTACTCAGGAGGCTGAGGCAGGAGAATTGCCTGAACCCAGAAGGCGGAGGTTGCGGTGAGGTGAGATCGTGCCTGGGTAACAAGAGCGAAACTCCATCTCAAAAAAAAAAAAAAAAAAAAAGGTAAGTTTGTGGCAGAATTCATCTTATTTGTGTGGCCAATAGACCATAAGCTTATGGTGGTCCCAGATGTTTCTGTCCTCAGGCTCTTGGCAAAAGCAAAAAGAAGTCCTCTATAGGAAAACAGTGTTAATCTCAATGAATCCCAAAGAGAAAGTTCCAAGAAAAATGAGCTCATAGTACAAAATAGAAATGGATCAATCTCCGAAACATGACAAGAACACCTAGGACATCTAAGTGTTTGTAAACAGCACCCCCTAGAATTGTGCAGTATACAACCCACACAACTGTATCAGCTCTGAGGCTATCTTCTTTCATGGCTACTACTCAGCATTATGCAGAATGGCCAAGAAAAACCAATGAAACACAAAAAATTAAGGTTTGTAAAGATTTGAAAGGAAGGAACAAAACTTTTACTATATATAAATGATATGTTTGTCTATCTAGAAATTCTGAAGGAATCAACTGATAAGCTTTAATAACTATTAAGAGAATTCTGTAAGGTAACCAGGAAAAATATCAAAACACAAAATAGATTTTCTATTTATCAGGGTAAAAATCAAGCAGAAAAGGTAAACATTATAGTGGAAATTGGCTCAGGAATAGGAAACAGATATAAAAGGACAGAGTATCCAGAAGTGAACATGTTTGTAAGTGGGAGTTTAGTATATGACAGAGGTGACATTTCAAACAAATAGGAAAAATATGAACTTTTCAATAAATAGTATCAAAATAATGTATTGCAATAAGTGCCAGGTGAATAAAGACTTACTTTTTAAATAAAAGCATTACAGAAAGGTGCACCACAGTAGCTTCATAATCTTGGTGGTTGAGAAATCTTTTAGATAGCAATAAAATCCATAGAGGGGGAAATTGACAGATTCAAGTACATCAAAATATGACAACAATAAGTAAAAAATTCTATTGGCTAAAAAAGTATGATTTAAAGTTAAAACACAAGTGACAGGCTTAGGGAGAATATTACATGCACATCAAATAATTTACATTGAGAATAAGTAACAAATTCCCACAAAGGATTTAAAAAATCCAACATAAAATAAGCTAAGAATATTAATAGGTCATTTAAGAAGAGAAATATAATGGCCCAGAGGGGTCCTATAAAAAGAATGCTCAACTTCATTAATAGGGAAATTAAAATATTGAAATAATGGGTTATCATTTGCTCTTATTCAAATGGAAAAAATGATAAAATACCGAATAAACAGCAAGCATTGTTTGGAATGTGGAGGAACAGTAACTACCCTTCTCTGCTGGTGAAATTATAATCGGTTCCGGCACTGTGGAGGGCTGCTTGGCAGTCAGAAACTGAACCACATAGATCTTGTGATACGGCAATTCAACCTCCCAATAGTTCCTCCAGTGAAATACTTGCACATGTGTACAAGCAGACAGATGCAGTGAGGTTCATTGGTAAGACTGAAAAATTGGAAAAGCTTAAATATCTATCAAAAAGAAGATGGCTAAATAAAAGAAGTATACACTGTGAAATATGACATAGCAGTTAAAATAATGAAATGAGTTCTATGCAGCTATGGAAAGTCTCCAAGTCATATTGCTGAGTGGAAAAACGGAATTAGAATGACATGATAACACATGTTTATTAGTACATCTATGCATAGATGAACACACACACACACACACACACACACACACACGGTCTGGCAGTAAATATATCATGCTAAGTGATTTTGGGGAAACCAGAGATCAGGATTGACAGAATGGCCAAAGGTTAATTTAGGTTTATTTATACTGCTTTCTCATTTTCAAGGAGCACAAAATCATGTATTACTTTATAATTTTAACAGTTATTACCTAAAAAACATAGTCTAGTCAGTTTTGTGGTTTCTTGGGTTTATTCCAGAATAATTGTGACACAAGTTGAAAACTTTTAGATTAGAAGTTGGCACTGTTTCTGTCAAAGTCCAGGTAGTTAATATTTTAGGCTTTGTGGGCCATACTGTCTCTTTTGCAACTGGTCAATTTTGCTGTTGTAGGGCAAAAAGATACAATACATAACAAATGGGCATGGCTGTATTCCTATAAAGCTTCCTTTATAAAAACAGCTGGTGGGCCAGAGTTAGCCTGTGAGCCATGGTTTGTCAACCCAGGTTTAGACTTTTATTACATAACTAAAATATTTTTAAAGCATGCGCATTTAAAAAATGTACAGAAAAATAATCTTTCCCATTAACCAACTAATTAAGTAAGCCACTGAGGCCTCCCTTAGAATCCTTTCAACTCTGGCCATTTCATTAGAGGCCATGTGGGAGGGGAATAGTGCCTGCTATAGCTGATTCATTGAGTCAAGACTCAGTGGACTCAGAGGTGTCTGTTGACCTGTCCTAGATATAGAATAGCCTTAAAGCAGTGCCTCTGGCCATAGCCTCAGCCGAGCTGGGCTGTAATGTGGAGAGAAGAAGGGCTTGGTGGCACTGAGCACATTCAGGCAAGACTTGGTTCTGTGGGACAAGGTGCCTTTTCACTAGTAGAGGTAGAAAACTCACTGGTCTGACACCGACTCAGCTGCAGGGCTGTGCAGGGGTGTGGCAGGGGCTCTGAGGGATCCCTTCCTGAGGGGTGAGGCCTGGTGACTGTCATGCTGTTGTCCTTGGCCTCAGGGGGCTGCCAGCACTAACCCAGCAGGCCACAAGGAATCAGGACTGAGTTGCTCCCAGTTCCCATAGTTCCCAGTTCCCACAGTCCTGGGGAGTGGTATTTCCTGGGTCCAGGGACTCTAGCTCTGTAACAGGGAGCTGATTGTATGTGTGACTTGTGGTAACTAATGCAGAGTTGAGGCTTCCTGTGATGATTTTTCTAGGAGGCCAGTGCAGGACCAGAGAGCATCAGTAATGGGGCTCAACATTAAGTGATTGTTTTCATGCTTTCTTTTTTTCCAACCTGGAAATGAGGAGACAGCAGCAAGGCGAACATGATTCATGACCCACTATGATGCTGACCTCAAAGAGAAGGTATATTTGTGTTCCTACACATCTTTTGCACGGAGCTGAAGGGCGGTCAGCCCCCAGCAAAAGAGGAAGAGAGAAAAACCATACCTGCTTGGCGGTGGTAACTTCTTTGCTCTAACTTCTCCCCTGGGGTCCACTTTGAACAATCAGGAGCAAAGGATTATGAAGGAGGAGGTTTACCGAGGAGCCGCTGCCTTGTTCAGCACAGGAGTGTTAGCTGTGAACACTTGGCTTGCAGGCACATGCCGAGGCTCCCGCTGAAGTAAAGCCAGTGTTTCCTCTTCCCGTCCTAGTCCTGGGTTATGATTTCCCCGGATATGAGACAATCTTATCTCTCACCTACATTTCAGTCAAAGTCAGATGTAAGCTCTAAGTGGCCCCATTGCCACTCCTAAGTCCCAAGTCCAGCGCTTAAGCTAGCACATGAAGAGATTACCGTATTTACTCTCATTATATTCCCCTACACTTTTTGCTCATCTGACTTCACTGTAAAACACAAGAGAAGGGGAAGAGAGTGACAAATATCTGCTTTGTCTAGGTAATTCTGAGCCTATTTCATCAGTCTGAGGGTCTCTGTCCTTTACCACTAGAGGCAATGTTAATTGGAAACTGGATCTCCTAATACTTCCTCCTTTGTTGAAACCTCCTCCCTGGATAGTGTTACTTGATGTGAAAGTGAGCAAAGTATTGATTCATGACAATGCCAATCACCATCATGGTTATGGAAGAGGCAGGCAGGCACTCAGGAAGAGAGGGGAAGGGTGTCAGATGAAGGGGCTGAGCACAGTTCTTTGGAGTGTGACCCCACTGCTCTGATCTCAGAACAGATGACTGACCAGGAATAGGGAGGATGGACCAACCGTGGGCTCTTTCCTCTCCCAGGTTCTGCCAGCAGGGAGTGGTCCTCACTCTTTAGCCTCAATCTTCTTATTCCTCAGCAGCAGCTGCCTCCAAGTGAACAGAATCAACAAAAGCCAAATGCGGCAGATATCAGCATATGTTTCTTCTACTTGCTTTGTTTACAAAGATGCTTTGTGGAAGTACCTGCTCCTACCTAAACAGCAAACAAAGTACAAGCTTCTGGCAACAGTAATGCTGGGACATGGGCCCCAGCAAGAGAGGGAAAGGGAGACAACAATTGAGCAGACAGGTGGAAAAGAGAACTGGGGATTGCCAAAAAATGACCACAGTCATCTTCATGTGAACATTTGGACTTCCTTACATTTATTTATTTATTTTTGAGATGGAGTCTTGCTCTGTCGCCCAGGCTGGAGTGCAGTGGCGCAATCTTGGCTCACTGCAACCTCCGCCTCCCGGGCGATTCTCCTGCTTCAGCTTCCTGAGTAGCCAGGACCAGGCGCATGCCACCACGCCTGGCTAATTTTTGTATTTTTAGTAGAGACAGGATTTCACAGTGTTGGGAAGGATGGTCTTGATCTCCTGACCTCCTGATCCACCCGACTTGGCCTCCCAAAGTGCTGCGATTACAGATATGAGCCACCACGCCTTGCCATTTATTTATTGACTTAAATTATTATTATTTTGAAGTACACACTTTAATCCAGCCCTGGTGAGGAAAGCCAAAATATCTAAGTATGATTTATTTTGTATGTTTTTAATCTGTTTCTTCTCTACCCAATTTGTACTTCCCAAGGGATGAGAAAGACTTAGGGCTGGTATTTCCTAGGGGTTAACATTTCTCAAGTGGATGCCTGCTTTGCTGTTTTCAACCAACTGCAGAATGTAAGATGCTTACAAAGCTCAATGCTGGAGGTTTACTGCCAGCAGTGGAGACAGGGACCCATAGTCATAGTGCTCCATCCTTTTTCCAGTCATGTTTCTGATTATCCACATGGGATTCTGCTAGGGCTAGGAAGCACTGGATTATAAATCCCACTGGATAGAAGGTGGACTTGGGCCTTGGGCAGCGAGGACCTACTCTAAGTGAAATATTAAACGTCATGAGGATATTGGGAAGAAAAAGAGTAAGTGAAATACTGGATTTCAGTTTCCAGTGAAAGGAGCCTGAATAATGTGCTCTGGAGTAGGAGGACAGCATGGGCTATATCTGGGGCCTGCAGGTCCCTTGAGAAATACAGATTAGAAGGCCATGACTACAGCCAAAGAGGGTGGGAAGGCTGGAAAGGGTTAAGAACTCACCTCAGGACACTTATTTCCAAGATCAAAAGTAGGTCTTTCTGCACTGACAGATATTACCATGTCCAGGGAAAAAAGGCAGGACTCCAGCTCGGGTAAGGCACCTTGCCAGAAGTCCTTAGGTTATGGTAAAATACATAGCTTTCATCATCTCTCAAAGCCCTCCTGGCTCACAAGGACCTGGCCTTCCCTCTGTTATAAAATATGGTGAATTATTTACAGCAGAAACAGGAAATGAAAACCAGATTACGAAACCACTGAGATAAAGGGACTATTCTCGGGTTTCTGCAGGGATATTTGGGTCTCTTTTCCTCTGGGTCTGTGGTGTGAAGTCCCGGCTAGAAGACAGAAGAAGGCTGTAGGAGTGCCAGTCCTCTCTAGTCTAGAACTGTACTGTTAATATCAGGCATGGCTCTATAGTGAAATGAGTTAAGAAAACAACCGGAAAACACACTCTCATTCTTAAGCCCAGCTTGAGAAATTTGAGGCCTTGACCTCCATTCTATGCTTTGTCTATTGTAGCAACCGGAAACGTAGAGCTCCTAAGCTACTCATCAGAGAAAAGCAGATCTGATCAGCCTGAAGAGTTTCTTCTTTTCTTTTCCTTTTTTTTTTTTTTTTTTTTTTTTTTGAGACAGGGTCTTGCTCTGTCTCCCCGGCTGGAATGCAGTGGTATGGTCATAACTCACTGCAGCCTCAACCTCCTGGGCTCAAGTGATCCTCTCACCTCAGCCTCCTGAGACTACAGGTGTGTGCCACCATGCTTGGCTAATTTGTTTGTTTGTTTGTAGAGATGAGGCCTCACTATGTTGCCCAGGCTGGTCTTGAACACTGGGACTCAAGTAATCTGCCTGTCTTGGTCTCCCAAAATGCTGAGATTACAGGCATAAGTCACCATGCCTGGCCAGGTATTTGTTAGTGTGAATTCGTTTAGTATTTTACCCCCTCTACAGAGAATTTTTATATTTAAAAACAGGAACAGAGAGGACAAAATAAAAGAGTGATGCACTGGCTATATAAATTCAGGTGGAACCTGAGGAAAATAGGTGTCTATCAGCCAGCCACAAGGTCTTTCTCAAAAATCTCTTAGCACACCTCTTCTGGGGTGTGCTCAGAGGTACTCAGGGCAAGAGCATGGAGGTGACACTCTGATCCCCATGAGGACGTCTTAGAGGAACCTTCTCCCTTTTCATCTTTGAGTGCAGGTAGTAGAAGTCATACAGAAGGCTAGGAATAGGAACCTTCTCTTTGAAAGTGGTTTCATTTTATCACAAGTAGAAGCAGTGACGCAAATTTTAACTTCCCAGAAATGGCAGGTTCCAGCAACTGGGGGGATCACTAAATTCGAGTGCCAGCTGTTCCAGATCCTATAATTACTCTGAGGCTCCATATATTATACTTGCTATGGTCAGAATTCCAATGTCTGCCTTAGAATTTTGGAACACTTTTTTACCTCATCTATAAATTACACTGCAGAATGTATCTGTGACTTCTTGCCTTAGTTGGTTATAACCCCCTGAGAGCAGAGGCCCTTATATCAGCTGGTACCACATTGCATTTGGTGGCTGCTCAGTTCAGTGTAGTAATTCTCTTAAATCTGATATTTACTAATATGCTTTAATAGAGTTCTGTCATAAAAGAAGAAAAAAGGACCACCTTGAGAGAAGCTTCCCTGCAGCTAGCTCATGTTACTATTAAATGAAGCCCATACTTACTTTTGATTATTAAATGAGTTAGCTCTTAAATGTGTGAAACCTGTTAAGTTTTAATATTTAGGCTTTAAAATTGTAATGATGGCAAGTATCATAATGATGTGATTTTAACCAGTCTTTTCAAAGAATGTAATTTTGTTCTTGTGAATCTTCTCTATCATTTTAAGCTTTCTGTTTCATTAATGTCTGCTCTTTTGTATCTTAAAACATCTCTCCTACTACTTCCTTCAGGTTTACTTTGCCTTTCTGTGTCTTCCTTAAGCGGGAACTCAGTGACTGCTTTGAAGCCTCTTTTCTAATATGAGTACATATATCTACCATTTCTCTCCGAGTGCTGCTTTTGCTACATCCTATAAATTTTGAAGTTGTATTTTCTCAATCATTGACATCAAAGAATTTTCTAATTTCCTTTGTGATTTCTTCTTTGTTTAACTTCCAAATGTTTGGGGATTTTCTAAAAATATGTATCTGTTTCTGATTTCTTAGTTAGTTGTTTCTGTGGTCAGATGACATTTTATAAGATTTCAATTTTTTGAAATATATAAAGATGTTTTGTGGCTCAAAATATGGCTTATCTTGGTAAACATTCCATGTACACTTGAAAAGAGTATGTATTCTGCAGTGGTTGGGCCTAGTGTTCTGATTAGTGTTAAGTAAAGGCATATAGTATTGTTAAAATCTTCTAAACTTTACTGATTTCTTGTCTAATTGTTCTAGACTATTGAGAAGAAGGTGTTAAGTCTTCAACTTTGGAGATTTGTTTACTTCTTTGTTAGTTTTGCTTTGTGAATTCAGTTATTGGGGTATAAAAAGATAAGACTATTTAGTTTTCATTTTTTTGTCATTATGAGGTATCTTACTTTATCTCTGGTAATACTTCCTGCTTTGATTTTTTTTTTTTTTTTGCCAGCTGTAGTAATAGAACCACTCTAGTTTTCTTATGCTGAATATTTTCCTGTTATATAATTTTCCATCTATTTACTTTCATTATTACTGTTTTTATAGTTAAGAGTATCTCTTGCAAATCATATGCTTGGTTTTGCTGTTTTTCAAAACCATTTTGAGAAAAAACAAAACACCATTTTGAAATCTGTGCCTTTTATTTGGAGTGTTTAATACAGTAATATTTAATGCATGTTAAAGTTGAATCGAGGTATACCATTTTGTGATTTATTTTCTATTTGTCCCAACTTGATTTTAGTCTTATGTTTCTCCTTTTTGTTTTTTCCTTTTTCTGGGTTAGTTTTTTTTTGAATTCTCCGTCAGCCAGAGACATGTGGAGAACGTGTCTCTGCACTTCCAGGCTCTCCCCCATAGCACTCTGGTTGGTTTGCTGCTCACCCTAACTGGGACTGCGTCCTTGGGCTAACAAAGCTGTGGCCCTTCCCTTTTCATTTCTAACGGAATTTGCTACTTTTAATATGCAAAGACACAAGATTTTATGCTACTTCTCTATCCTAAATTTTGACATTTAAAAATTTTTAAATCTTTTTCCTCTGGTAGCAAAGCCACTGGGTTTTGGCCAACTCCAAACTGGAAAGCTACCATTCTTGCTGACTGAACTGATGGGAGTTGGGGGAAAAAGAATTAGCCTTCTGCTGTTTCTCCTTGAATCTCTAGGAGTTCTTCCACTTGCTGCCTGTGTCTGGTAGATTTCTAGCTCCCTGGATGCTTTTGTCACTTTTGTCCAGATGCTTGGTTTTTCTATTGCTGATCTCTTCATTCTGACATAACTGAAAGCTGATT